GAGCTACTTGGTCCTGAAGTACCATATCTTAATGCAATTGGTGCACTAATGTATCTTGCCACTACTACAAGGCCTGACATAACTTTTTCAGTTAATGTCTTGGCAAGATATACTCTGCTCCTACAAGGAGACATTAGAATGGAATCAAACACATATTGCGGTATCTAAAAGGGACTACCGATATGGGCTTATTTTATGGCAACAATTGCAGTCCCGATCTTGTTGGTTATGCTGATGCTGGGTATTTATCTGACCCACACAAGGCTCGGTCTCAAACAGGTTATGTATTTACCTGTGGAGCACTGTCATATCTTGGCGATCGACTAAGCAATCAATTGTGGCTACTTCATCTAATCATGCTGAGATAATTGCTATTCATGAAGCAAGTCGAAAATGTGTGTGGTTGAGGTCTATAATACATCTTATTCGAGACAAATGTGGTGTGAAATGTGACAAGTTACCCACAATTTTGTATGAAGATAATGCAGCATGCATAGCTAAATTGAAGGGAGGATTCATAAAAGGAGATAGAACAAAGCATATTTCACCAAAGCTATTTTTCACACATGATCTTCAAAAGAATGGTGATATTAATGTGCAACAGATTTGTTCAAGTGATAATATGGCTGATTTGTTCACAAAATCTCTACCAACGTCAACCTTCAAGAAGCTAGTGTACAAGATCGGGATGCAAAGGCTTAAGGATGTGAATTGACGCTCTCATCAGGGGGAGTTAATGCGCGTTGCACTCTTTTTCCCTTACAAGGTTTTGTCCCACTGGGTTTTCCTTGCAAGGTTTTTAACGAGGCAACCAATAGGCGCATTTCTAAACATGTGTACTCTTTTTCCTTTTTTAGAATTTTTTTCCCATTGGCTTTTCTTTTAGTTAAGGTTTTAACGAGGCACATTATCTGTTGAATAGACATTCAGGGGGAGTGTTATAAATAGAATTCTATTTATGGTGAATGTCCATATTTAGAGAGATTCTAGAGTTTATTACTTGGTGGCTAAGTCAACCTCTCCCTATAATTAGAGGGTTCTATTCCATTGTAATTCATCCCAAAAAATTCAATAAGAATTTCCTCTCTCTCTTTCTGTGCAATATTGTTCTTGTTCTTTTATTGTTTCATAACAACATTTTTTATTTAAGTAACAAGTAAAAGAAAGCAAAAATAGTACTATATAAGAAAAGGTAAAGCTACGACAAAGCAAATCAAAACCTAAGCTCAACCTCACCTCCTCTCCCTCTCAGCCGCCACCCGTTCCTCAGCCTTCCCCATTTTCTTATTCTATCATCGTTAAATCGGTGCCTTCTCTCTTCTCAGTTATATTTATATCTATATATTATAAGGTTTTTTAATCTCCTTATATCTATTTGACTTAGATTTCTACGTTAAATTTTATGGGTTATCCCAATATTTTGATAAATATTGTGTCTTATATTTTATTAGTATTGCGTGAGAACTTGAAAATTACAAGATTGTAATGTTGGGATGAAGATCTCTTAAGAAGTTTTCTAAAATGTGTACAAGTTTGTGTGCTTGTGTTGTTCTTTGAGTATTTCTATTTTGTTATTTGTTAAAAATTCTTGTAAAAAAATTATCATGACATAATTTTTGTCTTTTTGAAATTGTATTAACATTTTTATAAATTAAACTTGGATCTTTGTATTATAGTTTTTCTTGGGTTTGCTCATCCTTTTTGTGCTAATTATTATTTCTTTTGAATTTACAGGGTGCATTTAAATTCTTCAATGCAAGGACCGAAGCTATTTCTTCCTTGAATGCAATCGGAGCAGCAACATTTTCAATTCCCAAATCAATACTTAGAATTTTTAATGTGGATCCCCCCTNTATGACGTGACTGTACGAGTACGTTTCACATTTTTTGTTGTTTCTGATATAATAGTCCCGAAGAAGGAACCAGGAATCTCATGTCGTTTCTCATCAACTCATTTTCCGAGAAACGAGGGGACCATCTGTATACGGGTAAAACTGGTCTCGTAGTACATCCCGGCCTCCGATATGATGAGCCAGGCTCGAGATATGGTAACAAGGGGGTCTAGACCGAGGTAGAGATCTCATCAATTTGGAGTCCGGACCATAACGCCTGCCCTCGAGGATATCGGGGTCGTGAATATTCGGGATCGGTCCTAGCCTTGGTTAACTTCGATGAACGTTGTCAGGTGGTCGAGCACGGGTAACAGAAGACCATGATATCCGTGACCGATCGAATATCACGGCGGGGATCTCAGCGCGTACCGAGAAGAAATCGGCAATCAGTTAATTAGGAGATTGTTTACCTTTTATAGAGTTGTACCTAATGTAGGATTCCCCTATTGTATAAAGGAGGTCTGATTACTTGTAAAACACATTGTAATTGAACTTCAAGGCAATATATTATTATTTTCTCTGCTATTAGCTATCTTTCCTGTTCATTATCGCTGATCGTAGTGGGCCCGGATCGAGGTCGTTTCTTTCACTGAGACTGGAACTATCTCACCCGTGTGGTTTCACTACTAGAAAAACATTAATTTGCGACCGAAATTTCTGACTGATATTGAAGTAGTCGCTAATGTGACTACTTTTGCGACCGGAGTTGTGGGAAAAAGATTACATTTTTATTACTTTTATAAAAAGAAGAAATTTGACTAGTATTCTGACAAAAATAATGGGAAAACAGCGCGCCAAATCTCCCGCCTTCACTTTTGCGACCACATCAGTCGGAAGATAAAATGTCAATAATAATAGTTGACCAATTAAGCGACTATTTTGGTGGCAAAATAAAAATAAAAATGGTAAAAGAATATTTTAGTGGTTTTAAATATAATATTTAATGGGTTTGTGACCGCGGTAGTCACAAAGTTAAATATAATATTTCAGCAAACCCTATTTCCCCAATTTCAGCAATTTTTCCCCAATTTTCTCTATCTCTATCTCTCTATCGTTATCTCCGCAGTCTTCAGCGATTTCTGCAATTTCTCTTCCATCCACCATTTTTCTTCGATTTCTCTTCAACTCCACCTGTGGTTGACGGTAGCAAACGACGGAATGTCAATTTTCGGCTAACGGCAGAAATTTCAAGCCTATTCTTCGACTGTTGAAGACTAAATCTGCTCCAATTTCTCTTCCACTCCTCTTTTCGGTTAGTTTCTGTCTATGTCTCTCTTTTTATTACCTAGATTTTTTGTGGATTTTGCATTATCCTAAGATGAAAAGGACATCTTATAGAACAAATTTCTTCGGCTAATGAGTTTCAGAATTAAGTCACACTGTAGTGTAAGTTCCTGTTTTTGAAGAAACCTTCTAAGCTAGTCGAACTCTCTCATTCACTTAGAAAGTTACCCGATAAACAGGATCTTTGGTTGTTGTGCGCTAATAAGGTTGATCAATATTAGAAAAACTTTAGTGGTAGCTTTCTGGAATTTTCTTTATACTTTTAATTATTGAACTATCCTACTCTTAGCTTGGGTTCTTGCTTGATGAGAGGTGCTGGATTTGATGATTTTGGTTGTTTGAATTTAGTGAGAAAATGCCAAACTGCTTAAACTGTGCTTGCCATAACTTCTAAATATGTCCTCAAGCTTCCGGTGTGATAACGTAAGCACCTCCTTAATTATCTTGTTGCATTACTCATGAATGATAGTGTTGCTAAAATGGAAATGGAGGAGTTACATAAACGAATTAAATATACTGTACACATTTCCAGAGCTTTGATGGTTCAGTAGCTCATAATCTATATTTAGATTGTTTTAACAGTAAAGAGCTCACAATCGAAAACAGTTTACTAATTATAATTTCTTTTACTAAAAGAACTGTTCATCGTCTTTATGTGTTGTGTGCTTTCAACTTAGAGTTAAAGGTTGTCGATTAATGTTTGATGTGTTATAAAACATATAAAAAGAAATGATTAATCATGCATGTGAAATTGTGAAACTTGGGAAGATGTTTAATCTGTGCTAAATAACAAGACACTCCATATTCACGAAGTCCTCTTCTGTTAGATGTGTATATCTTTGCTGAACGTATTGGTGTAGAGACTGTACTTTTGACTTGCATTTTACCATATATTGTTTATTTTCTCCAAGTGAAATGGAAAATGAAGGGTAATTGAGTTGTACAAAATATATTTTTGCCGTTGAAAGAATCAATTATGTTACACAGATGGCGCCGGGTAAAAAAAAGAAGATAAGACATGCTTCCCAGCTTCCTCAGCACGCTTCAAGTCCTACTAGCTCGTCTGTGCCATTTATGAGTCATCCTCCTCCTCCTCCTCCTCAACAGACTTCACTGCCACCCGGCTTCTTCACTTTGCCCCCTTGTGATCCAGTTAAATATAAGCCTATCTCTAATTCCCAGAGCATGCACACTATACCATCTGCTTCGATAGCTTATCGTACTAGTCAACATGGTGGCTCCTTATCTATACCTCTGTCATCATTCACTCCATCCTCATGCTACCATGTTAGTCAGAATGGTGGTCCCGCATCCATGGCTCCATCTTCATCTCCATCATCATCCACTCCTAGTGTTTCTAGGCCACATGTTGGAGGCTCTACCATGCCGTCATCCCCATCCATTGATACATCTACACCTGCTGCTGAAGATACATAGACTCAGACTTTTGAAGAGATTGTATCATATGATGATCTTCACAGACTGCTTATCATTCCTGATGGTAATACTGGGTAAGCAATTACTTTATCATTCATTTGAATTGTTGAATATATTTTAGACATATGTTAATTTTAATGCAGGTTTGTTCCCTCCAATGAATCTACGAAAGTGGTTGTGGATTGTGTTAAAGCATTTTACCGAGATGCTTGGAGTAAATGGTCAGATATACCGTATTTTTACAGAGATCAGATGTGGAATCAATTTAGGGTACAAAATCAATAAATTTTATATTATTTATCAAATTACCCTTATTTCATCTAATGTTTTAAATTATTTGCAGACAAGGTGTGCATGACATCCCAAATATCATCAGCAAATAAGTCATAATTTCGAGAAAAAAGGTGCTGATAGGCTTAAGAATCTCCTCTATAAAGCTCGGTTTGATGGCAAGATGCCCGATTTGATACTAAAAGACATATGGGAAAAACTTAAGGTGATATGGGCTTCTCCAGAATTTAAGAAGAGGAGCAACGCCGGAAAGGCTGCCCGAGCCTCCAATACGGGTGGCTCATTGCACACTGGGGGTTCAGTTAGTATGGAGACCCATCGAAGGAGAATGGTAACTTTCTTATTATATTTGCTTTGATTTTACAAATTGAGAGATATTAACAAATCAATGTGTAGTTTATTCTATAATAGTTATTCAAGAACAGCTGAGGGCCTTTTCTATTTCTCCTTTATGTGTCCTCTTTCTTCTTTCACATATATTGATGTTATACAATTGTCACTTTTTTCTGCACAATTTCATTGTTTATCCTATCAGAATTATTTTAACGGATGATCTTCATCAAGTTTTGATATCAGACTTCTTATCTTATAAATGGATATGTTTCTTATTTTAGTAAAAAGAGAGCCATGTTATTATGGCCAAGGTTTTGTTCCAAGAATTTCTCTGTATGGGTTATTTGGCCAAGTTAAACTCTTAAAATAAGTTTTAATTTACTGAATCGTGTATTTATGCTCTTAACTTTTGATTACTGTGAATGAAACATAGACAAAATAACTTTTGTACTTGCATAGCTTTAGATGTTAACTACAGTAATGTGCCTCTTATTTCTAAACTTTACAGAATAGCTTCTGTAAACTTTACAAAAAGCTTTTAGGAGAACTTCCAAGGTGTTGATTATGAACTTTATCCAACTTTATTTTGCAGGAAAAGGAAAAAGGGAGACTTGTGACTTATGCTGAGGTCTTTGAGTATGAAAAAGAAAAAGGACGGTACAAGAGAATGGGTCGAGCCCCGCGCATATGTAAGATCCTAACAACAAGATTCTCTAGTTTCTTCTTTTGGTTTTGCATTGGGATAACACTTAGTCTGATTCTTACAAGATTAGCACAAGAAACTCTTGTGAGTTAAACTATTAGTAACCAATGAATTTAACATCTTTCAGTTGGTATTTGCTTAAGTATTTCCTTAAAAGTTGTGTGAGATAGCAACTGTATGATTGCATGAGCAAATAAGGAATTATAGACATACACATGAATAATATGCCAAATAGATATCTCAAAATAGTACTAGAGAAGTGGGTAATGGTGGAAGAAAGTATTATCGAACAGAAATCTAAAGTAATCAGATCGATTTATCAAGCAAGTTAATTTTTTTTGTTAGTTCATATGAATACTCATAAAACTGTATATTCTTAGTAGGCAAAGATTAGAAATCACATTTAATACTTATGTGTTGAAAATGTTCCTGTGTTTTTCTTTTAAGATCTGTTCTAGGGAATTGTGTATAATCCTATATATGTCATGCCATCCTAGGCTGTCTACTTTTTAGTTCATTCTACCTTAAAAAGTTGTCCCAATTGCATGAATTGCAATTATTTTCCACCACTTGCATAAAAAGTGCAGAAAGAGTATTAGAAATGAATTGTTGTTCTTCATTTTCATGGTGCAGAAATGTTATCACCTTGCTTGCAATTAGTAGTAAACAACTACTAATTTCTTCCTAGTCTGCTTCTTCATTCTGTTAGTATAACATTGGTGCTTCACACTGTATGTATAACATAATTTAATACTTAAATTTTAATTTCAGGAAGCCTATCAAAACCGTTTGGAGGAATGGCGTCAAAGTCAACTCGATTCCGAGGATGGTAGCTCAGTCCAAATGTCACTCAATGATGTAGCTTCAATATGGACACAAGTGGTTGGTGGTGCAAAGAAAGGTAGAATATACGGTCTTGGATCACAACATTCCTTAGGTCGTTCTACGACATTATCGTCTGGTGATGCAAGTTATTCCCAGAATCAAGAAGAGGTGGAAGCATTACGAAAAGAAGTTGAAGAGTTGAAGGAGGAACGTAAAGAAGATAGCGCAAATTTTAACAAATTGCAGAGTCTAGTGGAGAAATTTATGAGTGGACGTCCATTTGATCCTTCGAATAGCGAGGATGGCGGGGATAATGAGTTTTAGTTTATTGCGGTAGTCATGTTTGAAACATTATTTTGTTGTGGTTGGATGTTTAGACTTGGTAATGTTTACACTTGACTATGATTGTAATATTTAAGACTAGATTGAATGGTGCTTGAATGTTTAACTCTTTTTGGATGTTTTAGTTATAAATATTTATGTTTTCTATAGTTTTTTGCATTTTATGGATTTGATTGGTTGGAATGGAAAATTGATTGGTTAGAATGGTGGATTAATAGTTTAATTAGTTGCTGTATATTTGAATTGGCAGGTGGTGCTGCTTTAAAAGTGTTGAAATCTGCCAAATTTTTTCCAAATTTTGGATTAAATAAAATTATAATATATATATATCATTTACGACCGAAATAGTGGGAAAGTTAATGTAAAAATTAAAATTTTATTTAAAATGTTTGCGACTACGTCAGTCGGAGATTGACAATATTTATTAGTCGTTTTCCTATTTTAGCTTTGCGACCGCAGTAGTCGCAAATTACGGACGGATTCGATCGCAAACTATTTCAGACCAGCTATTTTGCGACTATGATTTTTCGGTCCGGATGTAGTCGGAAATTAGCATTTTCTGACCACTTTGCGACCGTTTTGGCAGTCAGAAAATCGCTATTTTCTAGTAGTGTAATTTTTCATCACTAATTTAAAATGTAATAGAAAATTTAGAAAGAAAATAAAATATATTAAAAAAATTTAATCATGGATATTGGTGACGATTTATGGCTACAAAATTTTGAATTTGAAGCTAAACATAAATGCTCTACTACGTGGCTAATGTGTAACCATTGCTACATGCTAAATTTTTCAAAATAAATTACACCTTTTGCCATAATATACCCCTTTGTGGCTAAAGTACAAAAGATAGCTACAAAGTCGGTTTGTTGTAGCAAAAGAATAAACACATTAGCTACAAATATAAATTTTTCGTGGCAAAAGTTTTATCAATATAGCCACATCATAAAAATTCTTGTAGCAGTATGTACTACAGCTTAGTCATGAAACATTAAAGTTTGTAGCTAACTTTTAGTTACGCTACATTTTGCTACGGATGCTACGGAAAAAAATATTATAGCTAAAGTGTTTAGCCACAGAAATTTTTATATTTAGCTACGATATATTTTGTAGCTATACATGTATTATGTTGTAGTGTGGCCTTTGTTTTCCCACTTTGATTTTTGATCACCTTGCCCCCTCCATTACTCCGATACTCTTTCAAGCTATCCCAAATATTTGTATTCTTGCTCCAAGCAAAGCGGAATCAGGATTTAAACCTTATAGGTTCGGGATTGTTATCCTTTTAAGTTACCGGATTCTAAATTAATAATTTATACATATTCAATAAATTTTTTATAACAAATATATATTTGAACAAAAGTTCGGCCGAACCCGCATATCCCACTCTAGCTCCGCCCCAGGCTCCAAGCATGTCACCTGCATCATGTGGTATTGTTAATACTTTTGTGACAAGGATTAAAAAATTTACGAGGTCTTACCATTAAAACCAAAGAAAAAGCCAGTAACCTTTTTGGTCAAAGAAAAAATAACCATGTACATTCGTGAAGCTGTCATTAACCATAGAGGAAAATCCCTAGGAAGACAATAATTTAAAACTTTCTAATTAAACGATTAAATTTAATCAGGTTGTATTAGATTTATTCAGGGATATGTCCATTTGTAAGATCTGAAATTTCATCATCTTCATCGACACGAGTATACAAAAAGTAAAAGAATATATATGAACGTGTATCTTGTTTGGATGATGCTTTCAAGAAGGAAATGAAAGAGCCCTTTTGACTAAAACCCATTGAATTGTTGAAGGAAATAAAATTTTAAAAAAAAACTTCTCAATATAGTAAACATATATATATATNTATATATATATATATATATGTATATATATATATATATATATATATGACAGAATGAGCCTCCATTAGAATAGTGCCAAATGAGAAGATGACAGCCTTTTCACACGAGGGAGCATTTTCTCTGGCATAGAATACCAATAAAAAATTGTTCTAGACTTATTCATGATATCTTGGAAATATACTTGTCAACATAAACTGAATCCTTTCTCCTCATGGAAAACCTTATTTAAGTCAGATAGGAAGTAGACAACAAATAGAACAATCCTTATTGGAGATGGCAAAAGATGTAAGTTTCTGATTTCCTAAAGTCTAAATCTTTCATTGATATCTTAGAAATTCTTTTCTTTGTTTTTTCCTCTATTGAAAATCTATCAATAGATCTTCATGTACATATGGTAGTTAGTTCATAAACCAAAATCATTAATAGATTTTATTTCTGATCTTTTCTTTTGTTTTTTTCTTCTGTAAATTGTCTAATAGGGCATGAATTACGATGGCCTTAGCCACCAGGGCTCGATTGATGACTTCTTACTTGAAGACGACTTCTTTAATCCTAACCCTATTCTCTCTGAGATGTACTCAACATTAAGCCCTACTTGCATAATCGAAAATAATGCGCAAAAAGCACTCATTTCTCCACCTTCCTCTTCTTCTTCCTCCTCCTGCTCTGAGGTTCTCATTTCTTTTTCGACACCAACTAAAAGAGATGTTGAAAAATCATACTTTGACCCTTTAACGAACCATTTTGAAGAATCGACTGAAAATAATAATATCTACAAGAAGAATTCTGTAGAAGCAGGTGATCATGCTATATTGGAGAGGAAACGTAGACAGAAGTTGACTCAGCTATTCATTTCCTTGTCAAAGATTCTTCCGGGATTGAAGAAGGTTTGCGAATCCCACTTAATTAAAACTTCTCTCTTTTTTTTTTTTTTTTTTTTTTTTTTTGAGATTTTTGTTTATTACTGTAAAGGAAGGCCTATATATACTACCCAAAACCGGACGGGTCGTCGTAAAAGTAAANACCGACAGAGACCCCAGAACATTCCAAGAAAACATTGCCGATTATATGTTGAATTCACTGGAAAGGGTGTCATTTCTTTTTTTTTTTTTTTTTTTTTTTTTTTTTTTTTTTTTTTGATTTTTGTTATTACTGAAATGAAGGCCATATATCACCCAAAGGCGGCTGAAATATAAACAAAAGAAGAATACAAAGAGTAGTAGAGAGGGATTAGGGAATCAATACCTCCACAAATCAAAATATTTGATGGTTCTCTTATTTTAATACCGGCTAAATATAAACAATATAGGTTCTGGAAAAGAAAACTTGCCTTGAAAATCTCCTTCTTCTCGTCTAAGTTTTGTCCTAAATGAAACTATAGTTGGATAAAACTGTATCCACATTAAGTTTGTTACTAATAATTTCTTCATGGAAAAAGCTTACATGTATAACTTTAACTTTTTTAAAATAAAATTTATATATTTAGAAACTACATAATAAGTACTATAAGTCACATTATTTAACAATTTAAAAGGTATATGAAAAAATCATGGTCAAAGAACAATTCGTTTGGCTCTCGAAATTCGAGAAGTATCCTCCTTTTTGTGATGAGGAAGTATCTTCGTTCAAAATATTCTCACTAAAATTTTCCACATGCTTCAGTGACCTCCTCTATTCTTTGAATGTTTTCATGTTGTTCATATTGAGTGTCAGAACAAAGTTCCGTGTTGGCAAATTTATAAGAAAATAATTATATATAAAATATAAAAATACTCTTAATGGTGTGAGGCGCTTTCGGAAAAATCATGCGAGCTAATCTAAAGCGAACAATGTCACATTCTATTAAAAGTGTCTTTTGGATGGTAACCCAACCGTGAATTTAATATTTCGATCATTCTCTTGTGTTAAACATTCCATATAAATATCCTCATATAGTCAAATTCATCTTATTTGTTTTACCTCCATAAGTGCCCATCATCTGGTCTTGCTGAGATAAATTACGTACTAGGACGGACGCAAAAACCCCCCCCCCCCCCCCCCCCCCCCATTTGGGTTACATTTTAAGTCTTTGCTTTCATTTTCGAATTCATCCAAAGATACAACAACTTGAACTAATAAGTTCTGCTTTGGTTCGTGATGTAGATGGACAAGGCTTCTCTACTAGGAGACACTATCCAGTACATGAAAGAGCTTCAACAACGTGTAAAATTTCTTGAAAAAGAAATAAAAAATAACCCTAGCAAAAGATCATTGGCAGCAAAAGTTCCTTCGGATGTTTCATTGTCCCAAGGAAGTGATTATAGTAGCAATGAGGAAGACATAGTGCCAGAGATCAACGTAAGAGTATTTGATAAAAGTGCACTTATTAACATTTATTGCAACAAACAAAATGGAGTTGTCGGAAGAATAGTGTCGGAAATGGAGAAATTGCATCTTTCAGTCCGTGACATGAATATAATGTCATTTTGTCGTACTAGTCTTGACATATCCATTGTATCTGAGGTACGTCCATATATAACTCTACTGCTAAATGTTACTCCCTCTCATTCCCATATTAGTTGTTGTACTCCGTCCAATATTAGTTATTTATATTTCCCCTTAAGAAATCATAAATTTTGAATAATTTATCCTCATCTCTCTTAAATAAATGAACACTCTATTAATATTGTTTACTTTCAAGAATAATTCACAAATTTTCTCTTATGATATGCGTGAGATGATTCTGAGGTATACTTATTGAAAAGGACCGTTTAAATGCCAAAAGAAACTTGGCAGTAACTATTTTATCTGTCTTTTATTTTGAAATCAGGCTTTTATGTTGAATCATTAATTTATTTTACGTTCCTTGCAGATGGAGAATGGATTCGATGTAAATGTTGAAGACATTGTAAAAGCCTTTCAAAGCAAACTTTCAGGGGAAGTCCATTGTTTGCGTCTATGATCATTTCTCTTCTGATCTTCTACAGCCTTCGACTTTATGTATTTTCTTGATCTCTTTGAATAAAATAACCATTCTTATTTTACGTAACTACATGAACACGATGTTTAATTACCAATATTTACCAATGTAATGAAATGCGGTATATATATATATTAAAAAAAAACACATTAGACAAGTCGTTGAGTTCAAAACTCCGTTAGTAAAACACCTTCCTAGAACATGTAAAAGTTTCCATTTACTTGTAAAATTTTCTACTTTTCAAATTAAAGGAATAAAGGACCCCTTTTACGTGTATTAAGTATTTCACACGTACAAAAAGATTAGTGGATAATAATGTTTATAAGAACCAGGGATCATAGAGGTTTTTTTTCCCGGGTAAATAAAACTTTATTACCAAGTAAGCACTGTAAAGCTCAAATAAAAGAAAAACAAGCAAAAATGGAACTGGGCAACAATCCCCAATTACAGAGAAATCATCACAAGAGCAGCTACTAAACTTGTAGCCGACATCAACACCATATATAGGGCCCCTACCAAGCTAATCTAAGGATACAAATTAAGTTCTTCTAGTCTACTAATCAGTTGAGCCTTCATAGCACCTCTGCAGAAATGTCACGGGGTTTTGTATCTATACCCGGTTTTGGGGTCACAGTTGAATCTATACCCACTTTGCAAAAAATTTGCAAGTATAAAAAATTGCACTTCAAATGCACTAAGGCGAAATAGATTTGAAATGCAACCAATGGTTTCATGCACTTAAGACTAATAAGTCTGAAGTGAAAAATTACTTCAGATGCAGTTAAGGCCAAAAAGTCTAAAGTGCAACAAATGTTTTCATTCACTTAAGGCCAATAAGTCTGAAGTGAAAATTTGCACTTCAGATGCACTTAAGGCCAAATAGGTTTGAAGTGTAACCAATGGTTTCATGCACTTAAGGCCAATAAGTCTTAAGTGAAAATTTGCACTTCAGATGCACTTAGGCCAAATAGGTCTGAAGTGTAACTAATGGTTTCATGTACTTAAGGTCAATAAGTCTGAAGCGAAAAATTGCACTTCAGATGCACTTAAGGTCAAAAGGTCTAAAGTGCAACAAACGTTTTGCTACATTTAAAGCTAATAAGTCTGAAGTGAAAAATATTTCAGATGTACTTAAGGCAAAAAGGTCAGAAGTGCAACCAACGTTATTATGCACTTAACGCCAAATAGGCCTGAAGTGCAAATTGCCCAGAAACAGAAATTTGTTCTTCGAATTATAACAATCCAATATACGATTTAATACCTAAATCTACTCCAAATGAGTTCAAATTTAAAAAATAACCTTCAAATATCATCAAGAATAAACCTTAATCATCAATTTGTCAAAACAACAATAAATCTAATGAACCCATTTTGCAATTAAGAAAAAGAAGAAGAAGAAACCTTAAGCAATAGTAAAATATAAAGCGTCATAACAGCTCAGCTCACCACTGTAAAATATCATAAACTACATTAAAATATGTTCACAACCACCATATAATATCATTGTCACCCGAAGAAGAAGGAGGAGGAGGAGAAGAAGAAAACGAAGGAGGAGAAAGAGGTCTGAATTTCTCTAAAAAGTAAGTATAAGTTAAAATATTTTTAAAAAATAAGTATAGATTAAATGGGGGCGACCAAGTAGGACGCCCCGTACAATTTTTACATGTGTCTTGTACAATTTGCCTTGTAACTTGTTCCTCTTGCCTTTGCTTGTTTTGAAATATTCTCATGTTCTGTTCTTGCCAGAGATATAATACACACTTCCAGTAACAGCCATTTGAAGCACCTCTAGCCCTGCACTCTGATATGTCTCCGATTAGCTTCTGTCCATGACATTTCATGTTGCCAACTCATAACCCTCTTTGTTAAGCTTTGCCAGAGCAATATTTTATTCCAAGTATAGAATTAGCAGAATTACAGAGCAATATTAATGTATCTATCACAGTACCCTATCTTTGGTGCTTAGTTTTCCATCAGCTACGAGGTTGAGTATGAAAATCTATTTTGGTGCACCATAATGTTACTAATCAGCCTTATCCATGGAACTTTTTGATAGCTATCTCTCATTTTCTGGTATGTAGCTTTAATACGTTCCTCACCATCCAAGAAGCTTGCTTCCCTTTCATATCCCAAACTTCTTTCCCTTTCAAAAGGACTCCCAAGTATTTAATGGTAGCTCTACTAATTTATTGTATCCAAACAAAAATCCATAATCTCATGTTCCACCTCCAAGCTTAATTACCCCTCAAAAGTAAATAGAACTCTTGTCCCTATTTGCAATTAAACAAAAGATACTTGAGAATTTAATAAGTAGTCATGTTGTAGTTACCTCCACAAATAGAAGGAGATCGTCAGCAAATTCCTTTTGCACTACTTATGGCTTTGCACATTTGGAATGGTAGTTAAAATCAGGATTTAGCTGTAAAGTTTTCAAGAGCCTGCTAAAGTACTCCTTAACAAGAATAAATAAGGAACTAGCAAACTACACTTGATGACATAACAAACTTCTAATAACTTCACTAATTGTATACACTTCATATACTATAATACCCTAATATATGAATCACACTTTTAAGTAACTTCCTCTTCAACACCCCATATAGCTAGGTGCTATAAACACATCAAGAGCTCCTAGCTTAGAATTTAAATACTAATGTTGTACTCTGTTTAGACTCTTTGTCAATATGTCTGCCAACTGATGTCTTGTTGCTATATATTCAGTTCTAACTGACCCTTGCCGAATCATTTCCCTCATAAAATGGCAATCAATTTTATTGTGTTTAATTTGTTCTTACGTGGAATATTCGATTTTCTGCTATCTGCAAGGCAGATATCCTATCACTAAAGATGTTAACTAGTAGTTCAACCTGTATACTAATGTCTTTATCATTCCCAATACCCATGTTACCTCTGCTATTGTTGATGCTAAGCTTCTATACTCTGATTCTACAGAACTCCTGTGAACTGTTCTTTGTTTCTTTGATTTCCATGACATAAAGGAATTGGTTATCATAACCAGATACTCTTTCACTGATTTTCTAGTGAGAGGGCATGTTGCCTAGTCTACTTCACAGTAGGCTGTGACTTTGTTCTTGTTGGTGCTTGAAAACAAAATTACTGACCATGTTGTTTCTTCACATACCTTACTACTTTGAGTGTGAATAATAAATGCAATGTCTAATCTTGTAACTTTCATATACAAGAGCTTTCCTATCAAACTTAGCAACTCTTGAGTCTACTAAGAGTTCATCTGCCCCTTTACTAAAGTTCCCACAGCTTCATTAAACTCCTTAGTTGTGAGCTTCAGATCTGTTTCTAGAGATGTAGATGTTGGTTTAGCTGCTCCTAGTTCCAGCTTTGAAATCAACTTAGAGTTTATTTACTCTGATGCAAAAGAAGTCCTTATTTGGATCAAGCATATTCAATACCAAGGAAGTATTTTATCTCTTCCGGATATTTCATCTTGAGTGCTTGCTGAAGTGTAGCCTTTGTGTCCTCGATCATATTTAACTGTGATCTAGTGATTAATAAATCACCAACATAGACAAGAATTATAATGATACCTCCATCATTTCTCTCAACAAACAGTGAGCGATCATATTAACTTTGTCTGAACCCAAACTTCTTTTACCTTAGCATTCCACTGTTCAGGTCTTGCTTAAGCCCATATATAGATTTTATGAGCCTACAAGCTGATTTATTCTTCCATTTGATGGATGTGCCAGTGCTTAGCAGCTGCAAGGGCAAGAATGATCCTGAAAGTAACCATCTTTACCACTGGACTGAAGGTCTCTTGGTAGTCAACACCATATACTAGGACCTAATTTGGCTTTAAACTTTCCACTTCCCTCGCAGCTTTGTATTTGGCACCTCTTCTTGCTTTTTGGTAAAGGCACTACCTCTTAGGTTTGATTATCCTCAAGTGTTGCAATTTCATTCTTTATAACTTCTACCCATATAGGGTCCTTAATGGCCTCTTCATATGTAATATGCTCGACAATGGAAGAGATTGAAGCCAAGTAAGACTGATATCTAGGTGTTAGCTTTCTTGAGAAATGTATAGGAAAAGAGCATAAGGAATACCAGTATATACATTTAGAAAATGAAATCCTTCATCCACAAAGGAGGGTGTTTCTCCCGGGAAGATTTTCTCAAAGAAGCAGCATCGAAAACCTATGACCGAGCTAGGTCTGGTTTTCCTGGAGGCATCTATGCCTCAGGAATAGTGTTAGTAGGAGACATATCTGCAGTAATGACTTGTGGTTCCTAGACTCTAGTACTATGGTGGTTGTCCTTAGTAATATCCGGAAGATCCATTTGTGTAACACAGAGAATCATCTCAAGTGTAGGAAGGAAGGGAGGTGCAAGAGTGGAATTTAACTCCAAGAAAGGGAATGTGTCTTCCCTCAACCCTCGACAAGAAAAAAAAGGCTACGACGATACTTTATAAATTTTGTATTAAATCACATAAATGTCACAAAATCGCTTACTACTTCTTATGAAATGTCAGATAGATATTTCAGTAAATTAAGGAAACTGTCTGCAAATGAAAAGTAATGTTTATCTATAAATATTATCAAATGTCAATAATAGCAGTTTCTAGTTTATTTGGTTTACGACATTTAGAAGTGTCAATTTTTTCTTTTTTAGTTTTTACTGACACTTGTGCAACATATCTCATTGATCTCGTGTAATAACCTAATCTATCATTTTGAGTCTAGCATTTTGTTTTGTGATTTGAGAACTTGAATAAGTTCATATGATATTTGATATCTTGCATGTATTGGTTTGGGTTTCGAGAAATCCTGGAGTACTTGATTTATAACTAGAAGCTTTAAGTTAAGAGAGTTGACCAAGGTTGGATTTTTGAGTAAACAGACTCAGAATTAGGTTTTGATGGTTCTGATAGATTCGTATGATAGTTTGGACTTCTATGTATGTTCGGATTTGATTTTGGAGGTTTCTAAGAAAAATTCGACACCATTTGTCAAAAGATGGAAATTTAAAGATGTGACGACCCAAAACTTCACGGGAACCATGATGGCGCTTAACACCGCTTGCTGGGCAAGCCAACAACCAATAAGCATAACTAAACTTAAATGATAGTATGAAGTAGTCCCAATACGAAATAATATAAATAACTGA